CGATCAAATGTGAACGATAAAAGTCGTTCTAGCATGTCATAAGTCAGAAACGACTATGTCCACATTCATAAACACATCATCTATTTCAGAAATGCATTATTACAGTTGCCAGCAATGAAGAGACATCAGTAGAATTTAGCACGTCTCCAACATGAAGGCGAATTAATACAGTGATTAAAACACTCACCTGTATGGATATAAGTATGCTTTTTCATATCAGATTTCTGATGAAACCTTTTGCCACAATACTCGCATGGATATGGTCGTGTGTCACTATGAATGAGCAGATGTGTGCTCAGCGTTGATGACCGTTTGAATGTTTTACCGCATTGCTTACATTCGAATTGTTTGTCGGACGAATGCATTTGCACATGCTGCTATAATGAACATCATTGCATCTGATCAATTAGGATGGATTGTTGAATCAGTTATTTATTATATTCTTTAACTCTTGCATTCTTCTTGCTAAACCTGGTTTTGAACAGTGTGATCAGTAAAGCAACATTTCTGATGCATCGAAATTTATTTTCACTCTATTGTTCATGCCTAGTTTCAATAAGGTGGAAATTTTTCGAAATAATACAGATTACGCACATTACAGTAGGCTTAAACGAAAAAGTGTTGGCTAAGCGAAAAGCGATGTGTAAAAAGATTACCTCGAGGCATTGTGAGCTATTAAAGAACTTTGTACATTTGGCACAAGAGAATGCTGTGTTGGGTGAGAGTTGAGCATCGTTGGATGAAGTGCTTAACGCTTTAATTGGACTGCAAGCTCGATCGCTTGGCACTGTTGACTGCAACCTTTGCAATGTCATCAAGTTCAGAGCCAACTGACGGATGTGTAGATTCCATGCTTGCGGTGATACCGCCGCATTCATCTGAATACCGTTTGTGCTCAACGGATGCGCACCACCAATCCTGAATCCGGATGAGGCCATTGCGGCGGCAGCAGTAGCAGCAGCAGCCATCGGGTACGCAAATGGACGCACTGGTGAAGCAACTGCAAACTTACATTTAGTCTTTCTTGCATTAGCCAAAATTATGCTCNAAATTACACTGAAATTATATCTTTTATTGTTTAGTACAAAAATTCTTCAGTAAACATGTACCGAATTGATTGTAATGACCAGGTCAAATCTGTTTGACGAGATCAGCTCTGGGGAACTTACAATCAATCATTCACATAATGAAAGTTTCACTCCTAGAAATGAGTTCTGATGTGCAAGATAGTTAGCTTTCAAGTTTAGTAAGAAACTGTTTAGTAAGAAAAAAAACTACGGAATGGACAGCATTTATCAAGGAAGGAAAGATGTGCTTATGAGGATGCCCATTTCCCGATAAGCAATGACACATGCTTAAAATGAATTGATTTCATAAATGATGTCTTTTGTGAAGAGCAGATTTCTTTAAAATACCGATTCTGATTCAGAAAAATTGCACATTAAATCATAGAAACCTATCGTTCATGAAAGATTTGCAATGAAAAGTCAGTGATAAGCTGCTCTGAATGCCTACTCGTCTTGTTATGGAAACACTTCAAATGAATGAGTTGAAAGATCCAACAATTAGATCAACAGATACAGTTCTACTAATCTCAAAAAAATGCTTAACGAGCAAAATGAGACTGAAATTGTAGTTGTGAAGGAACTTGGCTAGCAGTTGGTGAGAGAACGAGAATTTATGTGACTGTAGATCTCTAAATGGGACAATATCAACAATGCGCAATAACAATTACAATTAGTTATGAGGACATTCAAAGGAAGTTTTTATTGAGGAATAAATTCCATTGTTATTAAATCGAACAAAAATTTCAACAAGACAACGAAATTCCACAGGCTAAGGTGCCACGATGCATGAGCAAAGAAATTTTTCCAGTAGTAATTCAATATCCACATTTTTTGTTGCACTTGAGTTTAGCATCGATTCATTTCCGAGAATATTTCCTTATTCATACTTTTTTAGTTGATTTATTCATTTATTCAGTGAATCCTCAACAGCTGAAATCAATTTCTGAAAGAAACCTTTTCAAAGTCTATTAATATGAAGATACGATAACGAGAAAAGAATATTTTTGACGGGTAAATGATGAATGTGTCACGGAAAGAGAGATTATGTGTGCCATTAGACACGAGACGTGCTTGTGGCATGCTTTGCTCACTTATTTCGCATATTCACTTCGCATTTGAGAGAGCAGAGTGTGAGTAAATCTGCGCACGATTTTATTGGATGGATAGATGGCGGACGGATGAGTACACTCCAAATGCGATGCATTCAATGCATTCTCCCATTACCGTATACTTAACATTCAACTGCACAGATTTATTCGAACGAGCCGCCAGTGCGTTTTTAGCTTTCTATCTGCATTGGCGTGACTTTACACGTTCCTTTTGCAATTCAGTGATTTCACTACAAAAATTCTTTTCTCATTCTATTGCCTCCTCAGATTAACTTCAGGCTTGCTTAAAGTAATTTTTTTTGCGTTCGTCGATTAAAAAATTTAGATTTTTGATTATGAAGAAGTTCAATTTATTGTTCACTTTCAAACAACGCACCTCCATTACGCAATATCCGTATGAATTTGAAATACAACAAGCGGGTGTTTATTTGGGGAATCCCGTGAATTTTGATTATTCCGTACATGAAAGATGAATTCGAATGTATGCAACTTGTACTGAATGAACGACGACTATAATCCGTTGCCCAATTTTGTTGCAGAATCAAAAAATGAATAATTGAATAATAATGGTTATAATAATAATAGTAAAAATAATAATAATAACAATAATAATACCAATCGCTATAAGAATTATTATTATTATTATTATTATTATTATTATTAATGGTAATGTTATTATTGATGAACATGTATCATCTAACATGAACAATCTAAATATGTTTGTATCTAGTATCTCTTAAACACATTACAGCAGCTACATCCATTTATGCGAACATACACAACCGAAAGACAACATCATGTGCTTTTATGTTAATGCTACCGGAAACATTAAGTAAACGAAACAAACGAACATCAATTCGACGATTTGAATAAATCAGAGGAGAAAACTTCCTTCGTGCATCGTTGCGATGTAATGGAACGTGGAAATAACACAACACAATACACACCCAAAATATTTCAGCAAAAGCATTCTCATTCAGTGAGCAGATCGCGTAATAAGCACAAATCGATGCGTGTTCATGATGCTAATGATGATGATGAAGTGCAGTTAACACTGTTGCATGTATACACTCTTGTCTGATCCATCATGTACCTACACACACGCATTCAGCCACATATATTTGAGTGTAAACCCTCAGGTGTCGTATTTCACCTTTGCTTTCCTATCCAAATATTGCATAGGTACTGCACGAATATTAATGATTGTGAGAAAGAACATCCGCTGAATCGTCCTTGTTCTCTTATTGCATATCATGATTTCGCTGTCGTCAACAGACAATCACATTTTTGAATTTTAGTGCGTTCGTTAGTGTCACCATGGAATTTTTGCAAAGAAACTTGCAAGGAGAAGCTGCTACAGTATTAATACAGCTGATGGAAATCTTATTGTTAATGCAAGAACGGAGACGTCATTCCAGATCATAAAGCAATGCTGAGAATGATACGAAATACGAAAAAAAAAACGTAATTAAAAAAAAGAGATATTATACGCATTTGCGTTGAGACATTGTAATGAAAATAATCTGATGACAATGAGGGAATTTTGCTTGGCACTTTTCGAAGCAGTGTTTATGTGAGAATAGTGCTTATTGGCGACACGACACGAAAGAGTCGCATGACTAATTGAGAGGATAATGAGCGCAAAATTCACAAAAACCTTGTTGCATAAGCATCATTTTTTGTTGTAATGCAAATGTGGGATTCATTGCTGAACGTTGCCATTGATCGTTGTGCTGCTCGAAGATACGTCTTTGTAGAAATGGCACTGCCGATGGACTCTTCGGCACTGATTCACCAACCAGTCTCTCAATAGAATAATTCAATTCCTCACGTTTCATTTCCATTATTCTCATCAACGAATTACTGTAACATTACCACCTTCACGGCAAACATCATGTACTGCTTTCAAGTGATGAGTGAATCAGTAACAGGCTGAAACAAAGCAGTTTTGATTCACTTGAGGGCTTGTTTAGAAACGTGGCGTCATAAGACTGGATTTAATGAGTTTCACAACTCAACTGTGCAAAATATTTTGAAAAAATAACTATCGTACAATTGATCATAAAAGCGCATGATTCTCGAACTAATGAACGAAGAGATTAGAAATCATGAGAGAACAAATGTGATGTGGTATGCCAATATCTAACTACAAGCGAAACCTTTCAAAGACAATGAGTATGAAAGACATCTCACTGAGTACAAGTATAACACGAAAATTTTTGATAATAACATCGTTCTATACGTGGCTATCTTCCTTTCTCGGGAGTATTCGCTAAGTGGAATTAAGATGACATCTCATCTTGATTTATGGGATGAGAGTTGCATTACTTTCAACAATATTTGATTGAAGACGTCTTGTATTCTCATAAAGGCAGTATTCCTTTCACCTCATGAACTCAACTGGAAGTGCTTATTGTCATAGTCCTTAGAAAGAGCGCAGTTTGAATCATTTCGAAGTCATTAGTTGGAAAACTGAAAAAATTATACAATAGAGCAAAGAAATAAAAGAGTAGCTGCTCCAAACATTAGCTAGTTTTTATCAAATCTGATTTTAGAGACCGATTGGAAGGGGTTAACGAGTTCGAGATCAAACAGCCACTGGAATTTTCATTCATGAGAATTTCTGTCGAGATGGAGTATATCTATCAGGGAAACAATGAGCCTATGAAGCTGATAATGAATACTTATGAAGATGATAAGTACTGTCGGAGGGATGCATTCGCTCAGATGGATGGATGGATGGATGGACGTACACAACAAGGAGGTACCAATTGTGTGCCTCGAGAAGCAGTAAAGTCGTCAATCTTATACGAGCCGCCTCAAACCTCATCTAGCACTGCTTGCTCAATCCCTCTCGATGATGGCACTCGCCCATCGACTCGTTTCATTGGTCATCCATCGTAACTATGCCACGCCCATCCATCCATTTCGTTCATCTAATTCGGAACGGATTTTGATTATTTGACAATTTAGTGCTTATATTCAACTAATTTTCACATACAATGCTTATTCAGTTTGTTCTTAATTACTTCTCTTATATTAATCCAATAATCAACAAAAAATCTTAATGATAAATGAAAAATGAAAAGGCTTCCATCGAAATTTTCTATCAATGTTGGATATATGAATACTTCGATTGCTCACAATCAGTATCATTTTCTGAAACAAATAGAAGAATTACTGATAGAATTTCGTAAGTTTTGCCACAATTTCTGCCACAAACTTCGTGAGTTCTACGAAAATAGACTGCAGCAAGAGCATAGGAATAACATGCAGAACTCGGGATGAGCTGATTGAACAGGTCGATTGTTAAGAACATACAACATTGCTCTCGGTTTGAGGCACACTGCTAGGCTATGAATAATTGGATATTAGACAACAATTCGCATGTTCTATCAAATCGAACGAGACGTGTGAGTACGGATAGTGCATTCAGTGCACAGAATATCCATCCACTCATCGCAGCAAACATTCTGGTAGATTCACGAAGTGAATGTGAGTCGGTTTGAACTGAGCGTGCACTGGTGATGATGGTCGTCGTAATTATACGATTAGAGGTTACTGCAATAAGCATATCAGTGACTAGCACACAAGCTCGTTATCACCGATCAGCAATCGTTGATGGCGATTTTTATGGCGATTAATTTGTTTGGCTTATTCATTTATTATAGTTACTGAACAAACAGATGAATATCAATCATCCGAATAAGCAAACCTGTGCAGAATATCGCAAACAACACTCCTCATTGATAACAAACTATACGATTTGATGATAATCTATTCGGCTAACATCAACAGTATAGCTTATCAATGCATTCTGCCATTTACAATGCAGCTATTGTTCAACGCAATAACTTGTTGATCTCGTAAAGCGAACATCGAAAACAATTAAAACACCATTGCCCCCTTCGAGAAATGCAAAAAAAAATTTCCACCTTTGTGCACATTGACTAGTCGAGTTGAAACGAAGAATTTCCTTCAAGAACGTCATTTATTCGTATAACTGATAGGCTTGCAATTGTTACAGTCAACGCAACTCAGTAACAGAAACTGAAACTTATGACAGAATAAAGGTCTGTTTTATCGTTGCATGAAATCGAGACAAAAACTCAACTTGATGATTTTTCAATCCACTTGATATTCCACTCATGCAACAAAGCTAACCATTGGTTGTTGTAGTGAACGAAAGTTATCGATTAGGGAAAGGATTTGCTGAGATTGTCGCAATTCGGATGTAGTTGTCACTGGAATGGAATGGAATGAGTTGAACAATCGTTCATGTATGCAGAAAGAAGTATGCACGTCTTCAGAACGGCAACAAACACAATTATACGAAGAAGGTTCATCGAACGAGTACCAATCCTCTCGATTCTATCACTTCAAATGATTCAACTCCAAAACTATTATTATTCATAGTGTTATTAATATTATTGCTAGCATCGTTCGTTTGAGAATATCGTTAGAAACGATTATCTATAATGACATGCTGAATGAAAGCAAACATTTTGATGGATAAATATTGTGTTGATGGATGACTTTGGAGTGCATTTGATTTCAACTTATAATTGATTTCGATGAAGCTTTTATTCATTATCTGTGTTTACTTGGTGATAATTGTTGTGTTTTCATTGGAAGGTCCCACAAGCCATAAATTGCTCATCGATGCAACAAAAATTACTGAAGAATAAAAGTTTGTTTCGATCGAATGATCGCTTAAAGATGATCAACATTTGGGAAAGTTCAACACTGACAGCGAGATTGTCCAAGGGGATTGGTGGTAGTCTTCTCGAATCACACTCACTTATCGAATCGAATCGCTAATTCATGACTGTCATTCAGCATTTATGTGCTTGATTTTGTTGCGAATGTGGCTTGGACAAAACCATAGCAAAAAGAATGACATCTTCTTAGGAATCTGTTTACGGGTATGCTCTTCACCACCACCAAAGTAGGACACGTTGAAACATTCAGCACATTCTGATTTATCAGCAACAAAACCGTAAGCGAATCAAGTGAATAGAATCAGTCAGCGCATGAATACGTTCAAAATTTGGAGACATCAAGCAACTGCTCGTGCTTCATTAGTGCCAACAGATGATGGATAGTTCATTGAATTGCAACAACTGATGACCTCAGTCAACTCGTGTTTCTCATTTAAAAAATGATGCATCGTAATCATGCGCGTTTGAAATGTCACAAATAAACACAGCATTGCGCTGTGTGCTTATGTGCTTTCGAAAAGGATGATGTGCGAGTATTATGAATGCAAATTAGGTATGTAAAAACGAATTTGAGCTCTAACGTGCTGATGAATGAATGAATGATGCGATACGTATGAATAAGTGAATGAATGAATCGTTTTGTGAATGCCCTTCTTTTTAAGATATCATACGTTGTATTGTTTTTGATTGCTGGCAGTAATGCTGAGAACAACACCCGATTAGGAAGTTTGTTTCTCATTGAATTCGCATTTTCAATTCGTTTCCATTCCATCTTCGAGATCTACATGAGATCGGGACCGAACAATTAATTGCAAATGTCAATGCATGACTAGTGCCCATCCAGGCACCCGATTTATTGAGATCAAACAACAACGTAGGCCGATCTTTAATATTTTCAGTTAATTTTTCTGCATTCCAAATGAGCACTCTTTTCTAATCGGTTTGAAATGCGTCAAGTTGCACATCTTCACGCATTGGATGAGAGCATTCATGATCTCATTTGTTACTCGATTACTGAAGTGAAAAATGAAGTTACCACACGATTTCTTCATTTGGTGCGGTGATTAATTGAATAACCAATGCTCGTTGCAATCACGCGAAACGAATTCAAATTTTAATTTTTTTTTCAGTCAGTTTCTACTTCTTCATGTTTCGAGTTCTACTTCTGAGGACCAAAAAAAATCACTTCGTAAAAACTGAAAAATGATCAGCTTCAATACATCGACCTTGTACAGTCTCAGTAATGACCATTCTTTGGGCTTATCTAATGTGATTTTTTCCTCACCTAAAGAGCAGAAAGCATCTGATTTATACTTGGTAATGAAGTGAATGACAATCCATCCGTTATTCTTTTCTGCAACCGTATATTTCTGATTATTCCGCCTAGACATATGCATTCAATACGTATCTGATCAAAATTATACATGCTTCGTAAATAAAAGGTGTCTTTAGGGAGTTATTATTAAGTATTCGTTAGCAACACTTTATTGGCTGTTGCTTTCGAGAACACAGCCTTTATTCAGTGCTCCACTCAAACTGCCTTCGGTTGTCTCGTGAGGAAACTCTTCGAATATGAAAATTCGATCACGCAACATATCTCAAAATTCGCGTGTTTTCACCTCATCCGTGCATCATAATCACAATATGTTTGCGTTTGATTATCGCTCATATGGATCACAATAAAGTGAATTCACATTCTGCTTATAATTTTTTTGGTTGCAACTGCGATCAACTTCTACTATTCTCTGTGACCGACCGAATCGTTAACTATTTAACAATTTCATCATTACATTATCACATTCATAGCATATTTGCACTGATAACGAACTGGAAGTGCGAAACTAGCACGATAGACAAAAACAGAATCAACCATTTCAATGATTCACCTACTTTATGCTAGTTTGGGAAATTTTCAAAATGCAGCCATCACATTCTCATCTTGTGAAGCGGTAGTGAATGTTTGTGCGGTAGTGAATCAGTGGTTACTGTAACAATGGTCGCACATGTTGCTTTGTTATGCTGTCTATCTCTCAGTTACGCTCCAGTCTTACTGTGAAACTTGTTGATCAATCGCAAAATTGTCTTCAGTAAGCTCGTTCAAAGCCACTTGTAACTAATTCTGCGACAAGAAGTGATTAACACATCTCCGATGAATCCATTCAGTAATTTCAAAAACAACTTATCATTACAGGCTATAATTTATTCCCATCTGATGAGTCGATTAATCGATGACTTTAACATGACCTTTTGTGACTTATGCTCATTTGATTCACACTTGATCACAGTTCGACTATAGCTTAAAGGAGAAGATGATACGTATAAGATTGTTGTAGAAGAATACAAGAAGATGAACCGATGAATATGGCAGATGTGTATTTACTGGAGTGAAGAGGTCAAAAAGCTGTTGCATGTTTATTACTTGTTCATCGTCAACTGATTGACGAGTGCAAGCAGCAGCATCACATCCATGCATACATACATACATACATACTTATGTGCGCGTAATTGGTGTTTGTGTTCGTTGATATACAGCAATTAGTACACTGCTTGTAAACAGTTGACATAACATACGATACGCAGCAGCAGCAGCAGCAACTACTGTTATGTGACACCACACCAACAAGCGTCAATGAGTGACAATTAATTGTCGCACCTTTCGCCTTTGATAACCTCTACCGCCCTTTAACTTCAAGCCTCTCCAACCGGGACGGTACCCGTTTGAGATGCGACACTCACACTTCAACTACCACTTCTTATTATTTTACACCTCATCACTTCCTCATCAATATGATCGTAGTTTTTGTCTCAAATTCCTTTTGCTTGTGAAGATCTTCTTTCTTAATCAACTTAGTCATTCAACTAACTGCAGGACAAACAACATTTGAACAATAGGTCAGTTTACATTGCACTAGATTGTTGGACAACAACAGGGATAATTAAAAGTTTAGAAACAATGATGTTCGGCTGAGTTGAAGAGAAATATCACAACAAAACGACAGAATTTATTGTTTTGTTTGTCAGATGTTTGTAGGTATTTGCATCAATCCTCGCTGAAATATTCGAGGAAGGGTGAACATGGCAAAAATTATTTTAATCTGTCGTACATCGTGAGATGATTGTTAAAAGTGAAGATGATCAAATTAATTGTCAAAATATTACTCATCAAGCGTAAGTAACGAAATACTCGTTCAGAAACAGAATCCATCATAATAGAAGAGGTTTGTTCGTAGAACGCGATCATGTTTACTGTTGATCAGACGTCTTGTTTAATACGACTTATCACTTGTCATCACGAATCGCTCCCGAATGAGCCATTCGGATGAAACAATAAAATTTTCACTTTATGTGTTACCGGATTTGAGGCCATTTCGTGAGCGAGAGATCGTTTGCTGTCACATCGTCATCATTATGATCACATCTTCTTGATTCACTGAATATGAATACTAGATCAAGTAAACACGAATGAACACAAGTGATACTATCGAAGGGAATCAACATGAATTCCTTTCTGATTCAATCCGTATTTCAGTATCAAATCATTCATGGGATAAAATCGTACTCAGTGCTAAAATTATAGCACAAAATGTGAATAATGTGGCTTTGGTCAGCTTCATGAATTAATCGAATGCCATCACCATCATTAATTTTGATGAGTTCATGAGCGAGAGTGATGAGTCGACGCTCAGCATTTTGTTGCTTTTATCCATAATTTGACGCAATACAAAATACTGACAGTGGATGAGAATTCGCAAAATCGAACGAGTGATTATGCTGAGAAGATGGAAGGAAGGCAGTGAAGAGAGCAAGGATTGTGTGATTATTCAAGCACAAGCTTTTTCTCTCATTAGTAAGCATTATGGATTCGATTTAAGGAATGCTCATTATGAGCACCTTAATTTATGCGTTCAAGCAATATCTAACGACGTGTTGCACAATCGAATCAGTCACTGAATCGTTTCAATGACCTTGAGAAAGCGATGCTATTAAGGTGCTATCATCTTTATTTTGTCATTTTTCATATTTCATTATTTATCATGCAATTCACTCACATTAGCGTCCTCTCAAACTGTGACAATAATTCTAAAATGTCAATTTCGATTGATTTCTTCATTGAGCAAATTGATGACACATTAGCATCATCAGTGTCTAATTAATGCGATGGGGTTCGTCTTCAACGATTGTTGCTTGTGCTCATTGCATGAATATGCATATATGACAGTACGGTATATGGCTGTGTTGGATTTCAAATTGCATGATTTACATATAAATAGATGATGATTTCAGTGAGTCAGTCGTTATAGCGATCATTCATCCATTCATCTATTTGCATTCAGTGTATCATATTTTCAGTTTGGCAGCAAATAAGAGTGCTTATCATGCCATATCCATAGACAATGGGATACAATCGTGAAGAAATCACCTTTAGAATCAGTGAAAGTCATTGCTTGCATCAATATTCCATGAAATACACCGTGACCTCTCAGTCAACAATAAAAACATCCGCTGATATGACACAATGATTCCTCAGAATTTTTAGTGATTCATCAACGGAAGAACTTTCCAAATGATCAGCGAAATCTAAATGGGTAAATTTACATAGGTTCAAGGCGAAGTTTATCATTAGTCTGTGGAAAGTTAACTTAATGTCAGATGGGAAGTGAGTGTGGAATTATAAAAATGACCGAGAAATTACGAATAACATAATTTCAGCGATACATAATTTACGTGTTGTTGTTTCGGTAAGCAACTGAAATCAAAAAATCGACGAGGTTGAAAAATTTACCTCAAGTATCAATAACAGAATTTCTTGAACGCTCTTTGAACATAAAATCGATGTGCATACGACTATCTTGAAACAGACATTCAAGTAAAATATATCCAACGTAATATTAAATCAAAGTTTGAGTGGATTCCGCACAATTTCAGAGTGTACTATCAGTAAAACATCATAGTTATGGACTGTAAGCATTTTCAATGATTACTTGAGTTATTACTTCGAAGAAGCTGATTTTGGTTTGAAGTGAAGCGAGTAAACGGCATAAGAAATGGTAATAGGTGAAGAACTAAAATCGGATGCATTTATTGGATGAGATTTCCCGTGGGATGAAGACACTCTCGGTTGAATCGCAGATATAGATGTGAGCGTGAGTCTGTCAGTCACTCACTGCTGCTTCAGTTAATGATACCCGTAATAGGTGAGTAGTCACATAAACACACTCAAATCTAATAAGAATACCGCATTTATGCGCGAAGCGAAATCGTTTCGCATTCAATCTTCATTATACAACTATATCGCATTCAGTCAGCATATCATTCATACTCACAAATATCTCTGAAATGACATTTTCTGATTCGTTTTCACACGTTTAATTCATCCAGAATGAGGGACAGGATTGCATCCTTGAAGGATATACCACAACACACTGTTTTTGTGCGCGAATTTAAATGTATCCCTGAGAAGTGTTCTTGATTGTTGTGAACTGATAGCTGATCCCTGTTGCACGACATTTTACTTTAGTTGAACCTACAGTAATTCGTTTCCGAAACAGAACATCTGTTTACCTATTGATCAAGATTATCAATAAAAAAAGGATCTAATGACAGTGAAGTATCCAACTGCACTCTGGATGTGTCGTGATTAACTCAAGCACAGAATTTATATTCTGAACGAATTCGTTTATTGTTCAACATGCGATTAATGAAGTGATAACGACTCGAAACGAATATAAAATTTCGATTATATACATATATTCTAAACGTAAGAATATTGCAAAGATAACATTAACTGATAAATGTCGAATTCAACAACTAATCGTTTAGAGATCAGCTTAAATAATCACAATGAAATGCAAACAATAAAAACAATAAGAGACTAACGGACAGTAACTAACTTAATGATATCTGTATATATTCAGATTCACCATCGTGGATTAGCAATGCGGATATCATTCAAACGTTCCAATAAAATAGACTTCTGATATTCCGAACACACTTTCAAATAGAGCAACAAAAGGTCATTGACAAGCAACATGAAATGGAGAGTAGAATTTTGAGTAAACAATCAGTGAGAGAACACTTAATATTGCTATGAGCACCATTTGAAGACCCAAAAAAGTCTGCCGTGTACACCATTCTCATATCAGCATCACAACCGAAAAAAAGTTGGTATGGATTCTGAAAGCAGAATACAGATTTCGAATCTTGAGAACATTTCGGCGTTTTCGTTCTGATTGTGCAGGTTTGAAAGTTAATGTGATCGATGAATTACACCACTGAATTCAAACAAATTTGAAAATGTGGCAAATCTAAATGAAGCAATATTTGAAGAGAGCATAAGTGAGACTAGGTATAGAATAGGTGAAGAACAGAAGTAACGAATCAAATGAACAAGTATTGCGTGAAGTGTGTGAAGAAGCCACATCACGACGATGGGCCGAAGCACGTTCGCCGTGCCGTGCGGTCGCATATCCATTCCCTGTTTTCCATTCCTCGCATATTTTCGGTACTTTCTTCACCAAATTCGATTGACGTAACAGTTGCATCAGTACTCTTCAAATTCATACGTTCACTATTTCACGTAGAACCGAACTAATATTGTGCTTCGCGAAAAATCGATCATTAACTATATTTTATGCTTTATTTCCCAATCATTCCCATCAACTCTCTTCTCCCAACTCAGTGAACCATGTTCAAAGAAAGTTTCTAGTTTGACTGTTGAAAGTTTACGTTACCTCATAATTGCTCGTATTGAATTAAGATATGTATGTGCAATAAATATTTGCTTATCCATTGCATCATACAACTGGTTGATGTAGCACAGTACATACAGCCGATATGGTCTGCGATACATTCACAACCTTCAAAATACAACTTACAATGAGCTGTTTTGATTGAGTTGAATCAAAAAACGCCATGCCTTTTCACCACAGAAGTTATCTGCTTGCCACACGTAGCATTTATCGTACATTGCGATACTTCTGAAACGTTCATCTGGATAAGGACATTAAAAACCATTTTCTTGTGCTGCTTTTCGAACGACCCATCGACACTTTTGACAGCTCGTTTAGATGGCATCGAAAGAATGTTTTATTTGATGATAATAATTTCAAAGTTGATTTCAATGTCTCACAGTTCACATG